ATGAGTCTACTGACTGAATCAATGGCATGAGTTAAATTACTGACTTGTGAGCTTACTGACTGAATTGATGGCATGAGTTAAATAATTGACTTGAGTTTACTGACTGAATTAATGGCACGAGTTAAATTACCGACTTGTGAGTTTACTGACTGAATTGATGGCACAAGTTAAATAACTGACTTATGAGCCTACGGACTGAATCAATGGCATGAGTTAAATTACTGACTTGTGAGCTTACTGACTGAATTGATGGCATGAGTTAAATAATTGACTTGAGTTTACTGACTGAAATAATGGCACGAGTTAAATTACCGACTTGTGAGTTTACTGACTGAATTGATGGCACAAGTTAAATAACTGACTTGTGAGCTTACTGACTGAATTGATAGCATGAGTTAAATTACTGACTTGAGTTTACTGACTGAATTGATGACATGAGTTAAATTACTGACTTGTGAGTTTACTGACAGAATGGATGGCATGAGTTAAATTACTGACTTGTGAGTTTACTGACTGAATTGATAGCACGAGTTAAATTACTGACTTGAGTTTACTGACTGAATTGATGGCACGAGTTAAATTACTGGCTTGTGAGTTTACTGACTGGATTGATGGCATGAGTTAAATTACTGACTTGTGAGCTTACTGACTGGATTGATGGCATGAGTTAAATTACTGACTTGTGAGCTTACTGACTAGATTGATGACATGAGTTAAATTACTGACTTGTGAGCTTACTGACTAAATTGATGGCATGAGTTAAATTACTGACTTGTGAGTTTACTGACTGGATTGATGGCATGAGTTAAATTACTGACTTGTGAGCTTACTGACTGAATTGATGGCATGAGTTAAATTACTGACTTGTGAGCTTACTGACTGAATTGATGGCATGAGTTAAATCACTGACTTGTGATCTTACTGACTGAATTGATGGCATGAGTTAAATTACTGACTTGTGAGTTTACTGACTGAATTGATGGCATGAGTTAAATTACCCACTTGTGAGCCTACTGACTGAATCGATTACATAAGTTAAATAACTGACTTGTGAGCTCCATTGACATCTCGAAAAGTAATCACATTTTAATGCAACTTTAAATATACCTCCAATACTCAACACGCGATAGTTCTTTCCAAAGATAATTAGAAAATATTTTGATGTGTGAAAGGAATATTTTATTAAATTTTCGGAATTGCTTCTCAAAACTTGGGGGGGAATGTCAGCTTGGCATTGAATGCAATAATATTATGACTTATTCTTTGTTTTTAATTAATAACATTGATTCATTAAAAAGGAAATGGTGTACTGGGGTGCGAAACACCCTCCAGGAAC